TGATACTGGTGGAAGGGAGAGACAGAGAGATATTTGGGAAAATGAAGAGAAGGAAAAGGGAAGTAGGATACCGTTCAAGAGAAAGCCTTTAATTATTTTGCCCCAGCCTAAGGATTTCGACCAATAAATGTAATTTAGGAAAAAATAGGGTTGTCAGTTTTTCTAAATTTTATTTGGGTACATAGGATGGCCTTGATGGGTGTAGGATTTCCAGGCCTGAAATTGTGTCCCAGTACGGCCCTGCTTCCATACATGTGCTGTGTTCGAAATCGCCCTCTATACTCTATATTAGTCCACTTGCAATAGTGAATGAAAACGAGATAGTGAATTTAGACTCTGGGAGCCCTATTTTAACAATCTAAGCACACACTGCAAGTGTCCGAATCCACTTTTGCTAGAAAAAAAATGGTTGCCGCGCATGGTCTAAGGTTGTCCCTATTCTCTTAATGAGTAATGGGTGTGTTTTGGGCATAACATGCAATAAACCAATCAGAGTCTTATCTCCCATTCCCTTTAAAAGGGCAGATTTACTATTTACATTGCTTCTCTAGAGAGGAAACAGATTTGCTCATGCACGAGGTTAAAAAGCACAAACAGGATATCTACGGGACAAAGTGTACGTGTGTTGTAGAGTTAGGGCGCACATTACTAATGCTCTCTTGACTTTAGAGAAAAAAAAGAAAAAAAAGTTGACTTTAGGCCAGTTTTCAGTTGGTCTATTTCAGTTGCCTCAAAATAGCAGCGTGCCAACAATGCGCCTGAACACACCTGGTTTTCAGACCAGCACACCCATGGGTACACAAATGGGTACAAATGCATGCTATTTAAACAACATGGCACAGGACGGGAATGTGATAACTGCATCGGGCTGAAACTAGCAAAATACACTTGCGTTGTGTCTGGCACTGCATTGCACCGGTTGTATGATGGGGCCTTTAGTGCGACTGAAAGGATGCCGCTTTTGCATAGTTTGTGCTTGCCGTTTAATAGACTAATCATTTGAAATGTAGCAAACTGGCAGCTCCAGTATAATAAAAAGATTTATCTTGAAATGTCATGAAAACTACTATTTATAAACCGTAATTAAACAATTTAATAATCATTTAAAAAGTAATTTATACTGGCATTAATATTACGCTTTAGCCACAGCGGTATAAAAATGGACGATGGATTATTCAGCTGCGGGCGCCATCTTCTGGTCAGATGCGGGAATTCATTCTACGCACGACTCTCACTGTGCATTATGGGTATTCTTTCGAAGTTTTGAGCATCATATTCACGTTTTTATTTATTTTCTTACATGTTTATTGTGCAGGTATCCTTCTTTAGTTTGGCCTACTATGCTGACCCTTGTTACTAGATAGAACTTTGTGGATACTAGATGCTCAAATAAAAGCTAAATAAAAAAAAAAGAAAGTTGAGCGTACAGGTGTTTCTCAATTGTAAGGCTGCATCCTACAAAGGCTGCATATCTCGGCTGTCCGTCTCAATTTGAAGGATCCTTGGAAGGAAGCATTCGTTTCTCATCCTTCATTCGTCCTGTATTGATGGGATGCTTCTGATGTATCCTTCGCGGCCTTCAATCACCCACAATCCAATGCACATTTCAAATTACGAAAATAAACTGATAGAAAACGAGTGGGTGTTTATTATGAAATGTAAGACAAGAATAATGTTTTCGGACATGGAAGCATAGATGTTATCCTTTTTTTTGCTGTAAATTAATTACTAACACTAAACTGACAAGAATATAAGCCACTGGGAGACCGACCGTGGACGGCTGTACATTCAATGTATTGCATTAATAAAAAGCCAGTTTATATAAAGATTTGTAATACAAAGTATTTTTCCTAAATTAAGTTTTAAGTGTATTTTCGTGCCGTGACCGTGTGTGTGGGAACATGTGTGATCTCTCTTTCTAGCGTTTTAGTGCTGAGGAGGACACTAGTCTACAAGCCTCAGAAGGACTGAACTAGGAGGGACACACCCTACATCAGTTGTACACTCATTATTGCGGTGCATTGTGGGATTGAAAGAGTGCACTCAATGGGTGTTTCATAAACAGAGGCTGTGTCCTTCCTAGTTCAGTCCTTCTGAGGATTTTAAACTAGTGTCCTCCTCTAGCCTGGATGCCAGCCCGAACCCCGCCCACAACATTTTTTGATCGGGAAGTTCGGTCTGGACTCGCTCCATTGAGGAGTAATTATGATCGGTTCAGAAATCGTCGGGTCAATCAAATTGCCAGGGCGGGCTTTATACGATGATGGACAGATGATCTGCAGGGACGTAATCCTCACGTTATCAAAGAGCGCTGGGGTTGAACTGGTTTCCCTCAGAGATGACTGCTGCTGGAGAACTGAGATGTATAGATTCCGCTATCGCGTCCGTTGTAAAAGAAATCGACAGCGCATTCATTTTAAAAGACGAACATAGAACTGCAATCAAGGCATTTGTCGATCGGAAAGATGTGTTTGCCGTCCTTCCTATGGGATTCGGCAAAAGTTTATTTTATCAGCTGGCTCCGATGGTAACTAAGAAGATGGGACGCAATGAAAACCCTGTGGTCGTTGTGGTTTCTCCTTTGGTCACACTCATTAAGGGCCAAGTAAAAGAAGCAACACTCGTTATTTTACTTCTTCCAGCGTGCGTGCATTTGAGTTCTGTAGTTGACAACTGTGCTATGCAAAGTAGTTGACTTACTGCGTTGCTCTCATTGGTTGTAGGTCTATCCAATTGAGTGCAGAGTTTTTTTTTTTTCCTGGTTCGGTTAAGACACGCCTCTTAATCAAAGCCCTATGAAGCAGTATCAGACTCACATTCTGACTAGAATATGAGTATGACGAAGTCAGGCTAGTCCTCCTCAGCATTAAACGCTAGAATGAGACATGGCTTTTAATTAATGCAATACATTGAATGTACAGCCGTCCATGGTCTCCCAGTGGCTTATTTTATTGTCAGTTTAGTGTTATTGATTAATTTACAGCAAAACAAAAGATAACATCTATGCTTTCATGTCTGAAAACATTATCATTGTGCAGAATACTATAAAATAATATATTTTCTGTCTTGATTTTTTATCTGAAGCCAAATCAGATCACAGAATGTTATTTAAAACACTCGACTTGCGTTATAAAGTATGTTTGGAGCACAAACATGGTTTTAATCTCATAAATTGTCGTGTATTGATGGTGTGCTAAGCTAACATGCTAGGTGCACCTGCCACCCAGCTGTTATTTTTTATGATTTTTTTCTAAATATAAAAGCTCACTGAAATGTTTCTTTTTTTCAAAGAGGGCATTTGAAACAGTTTCATAGTGAAGTGAGAACTTTGATAAAAGAAATGAGGGATTGAAACAGTGTGAATAGCCAGTCGTTAGTGATTATAATGCAGACAAAATAAAAGCATATTTAGACCCATAACCAGTCTGGAGAGGTGTGAATGTGTGCAGGGGAGACTGACACATTTGAATGGGGCTTGTTTGCACCACAAAACAATTGAGTCAATAGACTGAATAGATGCTAGACGATGACAATAAACACCAGTTTGCATTTTACAGTATAATCAAAATAAAGTCGTATGACATGATCTTGAAAAACATTTAACTAAATGCAGAGTTTTAGACTTATCATCTTCAAATTTTAAATATAACATGATCAGACATGTGGCTTTAGCTGCAGTGCATTTCTAGATTGATACAATGCCAACTTCAATTTTATTTTCATGAAGATGTTTCATAAAAATAAATTTCTAATAACTTTACAAAACTTTGAAGCCCTTTATAAATTGTTTTTTTCATTATGACTTATTAATTCTACATTTACAATAAACGTCCAGGTGTCAGCTTTCAAATGAGATCATACTTGTGCTTTTAGTACAAAGTGTTCATGAACTGTATCTGTTTCAGTTTGGGTATGCCATTTCTGGGGATTTTTCAAAAGTGGGGTTGCAGCTTAACAGGTTAAACTGTTAACATTAGTTTTTGTTTGGCTGACATATTGAGTTATAACTGCCAGATTATCAAAGAGAAGAGGAGATCTGATGGTGTTGGTTATGTTTTAAAGTTATCATCACTTGACCTGCATCACGGTGATTCAATAGCAAACGATTTTCAGCATTTTCAAAATTATCCAAAATATTTCTTGAAAGTTCTTCTGATCAAAACACTTTGATAAATTATTTTGTTTAGACACACTGACATCAAGAATTGTCCTGTGAATCTCAACAATGGTGACAATAATAAAGCATGTTGCAGTGCATTCTGGGTGTCACCAATCAAAACTCATTCATGGCTCCCATCATGCATTGCGGTATGAATAAATTATGATCTGAAATGTCTTATAATGTCCTTTTCCTAATTGAATATTCTGTTTGTTACCACTGTTGAGATTCTTGATGTCTGTGTGTACCTAAAATACTTTTTTTTTTTTTTTTTTTTTAAGAAAACCTTTGCATTATTTAGAAATTTCCAGATCTTGTACTGCAGAATCACTGTGATGTAGTAATCAACAGTATACATTTAAAATCAGAGCTTAGGCTCTAAATGAGTTTCGTGATGCAGGTCAAATGATGATTATGTTAAAACATAACCAACACCATCAGATCACCTTTACTCAAAATGGATCACTGCAAAATAAAATAAAGAATGGAAAATGTTTATTCTAAATATATTCTCTGTGAGATCTTACTGTGTGAATGTGAAATATTAGTATAATTTACTATGTGTATTCAGCAGCATTTGCATCTCTCTATATATCCATGACCCCATATACTCCTGCTGTGATCTTACAGATAAAAAGTGTTAGTTTAAGTTAGTTGTTTGCAGCTCAAGCAACACTTAGTTATTTCTGTTAAGTTTCCACTATTCTTGTTAGCAGGCCTAGGTTCACACATCTTATGTTGATCTGTTAATTATCTCACATCTATTTTACAGTTTTTCTCGATTGCTAAAGCACATCTCTTGAAACTATGCCTCGTAATCTCAAAATCTTCCCTGGCCACAGAAGAATAATTATTTCTTAGCATGTACAGCGTTTTGAGCAAGTAGCCAGATCACAAACCGTAAAGGGACTTCGTATTGTCAAGTCAAGTATAGTATATTTATATAGCGCTTTTTACAATATAGATTGCATCAAAGCAGCTTCACAGTATCAATCAAAACATAATAACAATGTTCGTTTCTTAGTGGAAAAACATCCACGTTTGGTAGAGCTGATCAATGGTATTATTGATTGGTTAATTAATTTGAATATCCCCAACTGAGCAAGCCAAAGGCAACAGTGGCAAGGAACCGAAAAACTCCATCAAGTGGCCTAATGGTGTCCTAAAACTCCATCAGGTGACCCAATGGAGAAAAAAAAACCTTGGGAGAACCCAGGCTCAGTCGGGGCCAGTTCTCTTCTGGCGTTTAATAACTAGAGGCCGGATTTACTGTAACTGTAAGGTAAAAATGTATATGAATGTCTCTAAACAGACTTTAAACGCGAACCTGTGATAAACGCTGATGGCGTTCACATGCGCATTAAGAATTGATTCTATAGTTATGTGCGTTTGAATATATGTGCGCAGGTTTGTAATTACCTCATGCCTGAACAAACTACTTGTCTTGTCTATAAATTCAGAATTTTGTTTTATTTTAACACTTCGGAGTAGGGAGGCGAAACGAATTCACAACGCTTTATCTGTAGAGTGGGAAAGGGATCCTTCATAGGGAGAGTCTAGTTGGCACTTCAGCACTGCATTGTCATCGTCATCGTCATCAGGCAGCGCCTGAAAATAGTTCTGTTGTGTTGACGGAAGGTGGCCTATTTTCAGGCGCTGCGTCATATCATTACGCCTGCTGCTCTCATGGTACGGCAGTGAAGTTTCTTGATTATTACGCAGGAATGAGAGTATAGTTCCTAGCAATATCAGCCTAGAAAATCGCAACTGTACATTTCCAGTCGGTCTTAGTGCACGATGTAACTACAGAAGAGTCAAGTTTTAAATAGGAAAAATATCAAAACTCTTTGGTCATTTTTTTTTTAGAAATGCTAATGGTCTTGTCCACTCCAATGATTGTATGCTAAGCTCTGCTAAAAGTGGTACCGCCAGAACCGGAGATCGGCTGAATGGATTCAAAAACGGTAAAACTCAACAGTTTAACTCTGGGGGAGTTGTAAAATGAGCCTATTTCCAAAAAAAGTGGAGTATCCCTTTAAGATGGAAAAATGCAGTTTTACAGATACTAGACACGCGACTTTCAAATGAAAGATTGGCATCAAAGAGCACACCCAGGTTTCTAACAGACAACGAAGACTTAACAGAGCAGCCATCAAGTGTTAGACAGTATTCTGGGTTATTACATGTGGACGTTTTTTGTCCAATAATCAGAATCTCTGTTTTTTCAGAATTTAGTAGTAGGAAATTTCTAGTCATCCAATTTTTTATATGAGCTATGCATTCCGTTAATTTTGTGAATTGGTAAGTTTCGTTATATTTTGAAGAAATATAAAGCTGAGTATCATCGGCATAACAGTGAAAGCTAATTCCTTGTTTCCTAATGATATCTCCTAAGGGTAGCATGTACAGAGTGAACAGCAGCAGTCCTAGTACTGAGCCTTGCGGTACGCCATACTGAACTTGTGATCGATAAGACATCTCTTCATTTACTGCTACAAACTGATAACGATCAGATAAGTGTGATTTAAACCATGCTAGTGCAATTCCACTAATGCCAGCAGTTTTCTAGTCTATTTAAAAGAATGTTGTGGTCAATGGTGTCAAATGCAGCACTAAGATCAAGTAACACTTATAAGGAGAGACAACCACGATCGGATGATAAGAGCAGATCATTTGTGACTCTAACGAGAGCTGTCTCGGTACTATGTTACGGTCTAAATCCTGACTGAAAATCCTCGCAGATATCATTTCTTTCGAGAAAGGAACACAGTTGTGAGGATACTGTTTTTTCTAATATCTTTGACAGAAAAGGCAGATTCGAGATCGGCCTGTAATTGACTAATTTTGTATGATCAAGTTGCGTTTTTTTAACAAGTGGTTTTATCATAGCCAGCTTAAAGGTTTTGGCACATATCCTAGTGACAAAGATGAATTAATGATATTAAGAAGAGGATCTATGACCTCTGGAAGCATCTCTTTCAGTAGCTTAGTCGGTATAGGGTCTAACATACAAGTTGTTGATTTAGATGAATTAACGAGTTTGCAATATTCTTCCTCTCCTATAGCAACAAATGAGCAAGCAAGCAAATCAGAACCAAATACATAAAGTGCATACGTTTTATTAACTAAATCATAAACATAAATAAACTAAACCAACATATATACATAAATACAGAAATAGGTTAGTGATGGGATGAAATTGGAAACCGGAAGAGGGACTATGAGAAGAACCATCAGCATTTCATTTTCACATTTCATTGAATTGAATACTTGCATTTGTAGTGGGGACAATTATTGAATTTGTTGAAAATTGTGGCAAGTGGAAGTTGTTTGAAAGTTATCTTTCTCCCTGACCACATGGCTAGTTTGGTCAAGGCCTGGGGCCCTGGGGCCTGTTGAGGCCACGCCGAGCACCCAGGAGAAGTGTGGAGGTCAGAAGAGTGGGTGATTGGAGTCGTTGTTGGTTGGAGTCATTGTTCCAAAACTCCTGAGATTGTCCTTGGTTCTTTGTGAGAGAGTCTTCTCTCTCCTGCATGAGGCCATATCTGGTTGGATCGAGGCCTGCAGGGCCCTGGGGCCCCCTTGGAGGGGGAGGGGGTTCCCCAGTATCACCAGAAACAGTGTTGCGGCTGGATGAAAGAACTAAGAGAGGGAGGTCACATGTGGACTGTCTCTAATAAAGCCTGGAAAAGATCCACCCCTAAGGGTTGGCTGACCAATAAGAAAGGTGACATGTCTGAGAGGGAAAGTAGCTCTTAGTTGATTTATGGTCTTTGTCCCAAGCGTGGTTATACCTTCATTAATGCTCAGATAGCTATAACACATCCACACTGCATTCTAGAAGAAGGTGATGTACATCAAATTGTGAGTCATTAAATGAGGATTAATTAGGTAGGAGGCATGATACAGGTGAGGTTACATTGATCGTTAGTTGGTGGTATACCAGGGTACATACCATACATAATAGTCACACAGTCACAGTTTTATGCATGTTCATTTATAGATCAGTTAGTCTATGATTAATGCAGCAAAGTCTATGATTAATGCAGCAAAGTCTGTTTTAAAGAGGGTTTCTGTCTCCCCATTGTCTCTCTTTCTCTTGTGCATGTGGCCACTCGGAGGTCGTAAAATATCCTTATCAGCCCTGTAATATGACACTTTTTCTGTCCTTGTGGTCGTTCATTTGGGCTGTTAGTTTTGGAGTTTTATAAACCTTTGTATATAATGAATAATTAGTGTGTGTCTGATTGGTCCATACCCTACACTGATAAATATTAACCACAAACATCCAGTACAGACACTTTCTCTTGCTCATTCTCTCAACAGATAAAACCACATTTCTTTCCGGATCTAAAACTGAGGCCTTCTGTGGTTTGGGTCTGTTGAATGCAATACACCAAAACACCTGTTTGCTGCTAATATTTAAACCAAAATTAAATGTATACTGTTATTCTGCAGTTTCATGTATATCAATCATTGACTTTTGATCTGAATGCATTGAGAATGTGCTGTTAGGACATATAAAATGGCTGTTTAAAGTCAGCTGGGATTTCTTGACCACACACAGAGTAAAACTTAAAAATACCCTGTTCAAAATTAATACAAATATCTGAGCCGTTCCCATGTGAGATTTAACATCATTCCCTGTAGGGCATCTTGTAAATTGTAGGTTTTACCATGAACTCTATGTAACTTTGCACTCTCCACCAAATTTTATGTTAAATTCAGTTAATGCATGATAAATGTCTGGTAAATGTGGATGAGTTCTCTTACGAGAGGTTCTCTCGTACTGCGTAATATCTTACGCTAGGGGCAAACCTCTTTTCCTCGAGATATTGAAGCCAAAAAATTATCCTTAATTTTGAATTATTGCAAAACGCGTTGCGGCAGCTTGCAGACATAGGCAAGGCGGCTTAGCTTGCCTATTGGCTGTCCTGCGGCAACTGCAGCAGCCTATCGAGAGCGGCCCTTTGGTGACGGTCCAATGGGGGCGCTTCGCATGCAATGGAATTTAAAGTACTCCTCCTAGAGAATTGATCAAAATTCCACGAAACTCGGTCAGCGTGAAGTCAAGACATTGAAGACGAAAAATTGCCAGGGGATTTTTGATATCTCGAATGGTTTGGCCGTGGCGAGGAAACGAAATTATGGCGAGAAACGTGAAACAGGAAGTGTGTTATAACTTCAGCATACATTAACTAATCTTGATGAAACTTCAGCAGTGTGTTCGTTGTAAGAGGCCGATCACATGGATGTGACTATTTTGAGTCAAAGTTATAGCGCTACCAACTGGCAGCAGGAAGTGTGTCACTTTATGGAGTGACACTTATTCGCCAAAGTTATGGAACACATTACCTACAACTATTAGGGATGCAGATTCTCTGGATTGTTTTAAGAAACTTCTTAAGACACATCTTTTTAGTCAAGCTTTCAATTTATAATTGTATTATTTCGTTTTTTGCATTTTTTTGATACTTTTATATTTTATCCTCATGTTTGTTTATTTTGTTCTGTATTGTAGCGCTTTGAGTCTGAGAAAGGTGCATTACAAATAAAATGTATTATTATTATTATTATTATTATTATTATTACTTTCTAAACGCTTTTGACAAAAGTGGGGGGGGGGGGGTAGTTTTATCTACAGTAACAAAACTCGGTGTGTATATTGTACTCTTCGAACCGGACAACTTTCTAATTTACAGTCATTAACTACGGCCAACAGGAAGTCAGATATTTTGGTTTGAATGTGGATTTCAGACTCTGAGTTTTTAGCTACTCCTCCTAAGTAGTTTATTTTATTCATGCCAAACTTTTTCAACTTGATGAAAATACATTAAAGATGCTAAATTGTGAACGGATATTGAATATCTCAAACGGTTTTGCTATGGTGAGGGATTAAAGTAATGTCAAATAAAGAATCAGGAAATGTCTCATATCTTTCTAAAATGTCATTATACACCATTTGTTTTTATATAAAATTATACAAATATTACAACCAAACCCATTTTATTCCTTTTTTTTTTTCAATTTAAGAATTATGTTTAAGTTTAAAAACAGCCAGAATGGTTGTTTAGTCAAAAAAAAAAAAAAAAAAAAAATCCAAATCATTCATAGTGCTATACTGCCCTTACTGGCTTTAAAATTGCTAACTTGAAAGCGAAAGTAACGGACGTCCGCACAAGACATTAATAAGGGTGCGGAGTAGAGCGAGAGTTTTCAATTAATTCCTATGGAAGTAGGAATGAACTAAACAACATTCACTCTGTTCTGCTCGTCCCTCACCATGGGCGCGCACAGTAATGAATGCCCATGCAGCCGTGAGCATTTTAGTTTAATTTTAAAATTAGCACCATTTTGGGGGACGTATTGATGAATTTATTTTACAAAAACACAATGTTATGTTGTATTGCGAGTGTACATAAATATAAGTAAACACTTTGC